GAAAAATAAGAGTTGTAGAACTTATTGAAAACTCAAGACAGCCATAACATTATGTTTTTTTACAAGTGTATGTAAACTTTTGACCACAACTGTATGTATTTAGTCTGCCCAGAGACGCTGTCTGCCACGTAGGATTTTAAAAACTTGCGGCCCCTTCCATCTTTTAAGTTGCCCGTACCAGAGTGAACCCATTTGTACAGATCTAATCTGTAGCTCTGAGCTTTAATAAATCTCTAACACGTACCTGTGTGTCACTGGACCAGTCTGTAGGTGATGTACCTTCCAGCAGTTTCACTGGGTCGGATGATCTTCACCACCTGGAGACGTTCATGAAACACGAGTCGGTCAAACAATCAGTGGACCATTTAGAATAAACATCTCAAAGTACTGACTGGACTCTATTGTGAGACGTCACGCTCGGTACGTGTTGTGAGTCTCGGCCACTACTACATCAAGTAGTGGTTTAATGTCTTTAAACAGTTGTTTCACAGCTCTAACTTTTGAAACGGGGGCATCTTACAGCCTTGTTTAGTCTTGACACAGTTTGTATTTACCTGTCCTCTTTTCAAGCCAAAGTAGCGAGCCACGGGGTCTCCAGCCTGAATCCTGGGTAACTGACTTTCCTTTAATTTACTGAAGTCATCAAGTTAAGGACAACAAAAGCATGAATACTTCACAGAAATTTTAACTCAATGCCTAAACCACAGGACAGGACTTGTTAGTTTTTTCTTTCCACTGTAATATGCTGCTCAATCAGAATGGGAGGCTGTGRCGAAGTGAAGAATCTGTCAGCTTTAGATACCTTTAATATTATACAAACATGTTTTTGTATAGTTCCAAGACTGTTGTTGTGAGCTGGTGCTACATAAATAAACAGGAGTGAAATAAATTGATAAGGATACTATCTTGCTAGAAGTTCAGTCACTTCCTCCTTCGTCATGACGATGTGCTCAGGTACAAGCTGAAAGAGGACAAAGGAGAAGTGAAGGCACCATTGTTTGCTGTTCATTAAAATAAATAAATAAATAAATCAGAAGACACCGGGTTATTTACCTCGTGCTCTGTGATGTTAATAAGCAGCTCCTGCTGGAGAAACTGCTCCAGGATGTACTTAGGTGCCATGTCCACCAAAGACTGTCAGATAATTCAGATTAAACTGTCAGACACACAAAAAAACTTCCAGGACACGAGTGTTTTAGGAGTTTTTTTAATTACAAGTGCTCACCTGTTTTGCTGAAGGTGTCATGCCCATTTGAACAACAATGATGGCTCTTGTGATGTTCTCCTCCTGCATCCTCTGACAGTACATCTTAATAGTTTTAATTCCCACCTTGGGCTCCTCTGGTAGGGACACAGACACACAATAACAGGTTATATAAACTTATAATATTCATACATACTGACTTTAATTACTTGTTTGTTTGTTTTTTCAAAACTATAGCAAGCAACACAACACGGACAATTGTGTTTCTTCCAAAGGGAGACCAACAAAGAAAGTTTGAGAATTATTTATAACTGAAGCAAATGTCTGTCAAATAAAGTCTATTGTTCCAGCTACTCAGGGAGTAAGAGCTGTACAAATATTAAAAATTGGGATCAATTCACACAACCAAGATTTATGTATTTTTATAGGTCTGTGCAACATTACTTAATAAATAAGCATCTTCTAAAACTGTCAATGTTAAACAAATGGACTTAAAAAAACAATATAAAACAACATAAATAAAATATAGTCAATATAAATAAGAACCTTGAAAGATCCATAGTTTTGCTAAAAACTAAACAGTTGCTCATATTTTTACACTATAAGTAAACAGAACATGTACAGGTAAACATACCGGGAAAGAAAACAAACATTTGGTCTGTGGGGTCATCATTATGCGCCACCAGCACTGTGAGATCTGTCCGCCTGGGGCGACCTTCGCTCGGTTTGTCTCCAAATTGGCTCTTGAACTCGTCCAGAGTCTGGTCCAACTCGTCCTGGGTCACCAGGTAGCCTCGATCATGGCAGAGCTGAGAGAGTCAAAATCACACATTGTACAAAAATAAAAAATAAAGTCACATCATCCTTACTGAGCTGGGACATTATGGCAGGCCATTCTAACATAAAATTGTCTGATGATTTGTAATTACATTCTAGATATTTAAAAATAAGTACTGACAAGGAAAAACTGTATTTTGACCATCCTGAATGGTAATTTGATATAGCTGCATTTACATTCTGACTACAAACAATAACAAAACAATAAAACACAGATATTATAGCAAACAGGAAACAAGTTGAATACAAGTCTACAACAGAAAACAAGTCACAATATTCCAAATAAGTATATGACTTGACATGTATCAATTTCAGATATCTGGGATGTGTTGTGAATCCGGTTTAATGTCAAAATGGTCTGCCATAAGTGTGGTGAAGCCGATTTTATGTTAAAACGGCCTGTCAAAGTACATATTCCAGACATCATGCTAAAACTTTGATTTTTTCCGTTACAGAACGTGAGGAAAGTGAAACTCTGTGTCTATTTGTTCTTCTTTACAGCTGTGGTGTTAGCTGCTGCGATTTTACAATAAATGTTAAAACATTCATTGCAGGTCAAAAAAGACATTGGCGTGTCTTTGTGTAATTTTATTTTTTATTATGTTTTTATTTGTCTCTCTTTTTCTTGGATATGAACCAGGATTCTGTGTCCTTAGTAAAGCTTGAAATGGAAAAAAAATGAAAACGTAAACACGCGAAACAGAACAAAAACACGGAGTTAGCATCCTGGTTGATGTTGTTTAAGCTAAATGATTAGCTAAGAAGCTAAAGAAGGCGCACGGACGCACCTGCATGATGGTTTTACGGATCTTCCACAACCTGTATGTTTCCTCCTCGTCATCCATGTCCTTCTAAATAATTTATCTACACAAGTTTTGCTCGGAAATTGACTTTTTTCCTGTATAAATTCGCCACTTGCGGTCTAACACACGACGCACATTTCTCGTTCAACCGACACAGACTGATGATGTCACGGAGAGGCTCTCCAGGGCGTTATCATGTGACCTTTCATGGTCGAAGTGAGCAGCCATCTTATGCAGGGCAAGGACTGTGCTTTATTACTGAGTCTGGATTTGTATGGAGGTTATTTTGTTTTTCTGCTGAAATTAAATAATTATGTGCTTGTCGGTCCTTCGCAGTGGTTTGTCCATGCTGAGAGAGTTTTCCAGAGGTCCCATGTCGGCAATATACGGAGCCCGTGAGGTGACATAGGAGATTTTTTTTTCTTTTGCGTTCCCACGCAAAAGTCATTTATCACTGTTGTGCCTGCCGGTTTAACAACAAATTCACATGTTCACCATTAGCGAGTTAGCCTACTGCTTTAATTCAGCTTTAGAATGAGTATATCACACAACTACGCATGGAAGTATATCATATGCCGATATTTTAACCCAGTGCAGCCATGCAACATCAATGTCAATGTCACGAACTGTGGCGACTTATCCTTTTTTGGTAATGGGATATTTCAAAATAAAAGTCTGATTTGATTCAGTTCATATTCAAAACAAACTTTTGCATGGGAACGTAAAACAATACTGCGAGGGAACGCAAAGGTATTGCGAGGTAACGCAAAAGTGTTGCGAGGGAACGCAAAGGTATTGCAAGGTAACGCAAAAGTGTTGCGAGGGAACGCAAAGGTATTGCAAGGTAACGCAAAAGTGTTGCGAGGG